AATGGTCATTCTTGACATCAGCATTTCTGTTTGGGGTTTTTTTACATTAAAATTAATGTAGAAATAAGGGAAGTAAAAGTATTTGATTTGGTTTGTTTAGAACTTAAAATATTAATAACAATGTAATAATCAGTCTAGATATAAGATTTATAATATTAAAAATTAATTCCCTGGGATATTTGAAAAAATTCTGAAATAATATTTTACAGGATTATCACAGTATTGTGGGTGTTGCTTCACAGATAATATTGCTTGTGTGTATAACAATACCTTTTTACCTTATATGTATAAAATACCTTTGTCTGGAGCAAGGACTGATACCATCCTGCACACACACCAAGGGCCATAATTCTTAAAGAGGTTTCAAACAGTGAGCCTCTTTCAATGGTCAGGCATGGAGACATTTAGAGAATTGATTCAATTAACCTAGAGGAAAAAAGTGCTGTAATGTGTGATTTATGTTTGCAGATAAATTAAAATACAAGTATCTCCTGAAGAGCATTTGCTGCCATCATGGTCAGTAATGAAAATAGCAGGCAATTAAAATAGGACACCTGAGGCTGGAGCTTTTACTGTATCTGTCAGAAAATGAAGTTCACATTTCCTAAGTGGAAGTCTGAGCTGAAAAATAACTTAGTGGAAGTTCCTTTCCGATCCTTGTTTTATTTCCGAAAGTGATTTCTAAAGCACACAAGAAATAGGAAGAGGCATTTCCTGGAACAGGAGGCAAAGGGTACAGAGGAGTAGGCTCTCTCAATCAATACTGAATTTATATGAGGAGCCAGAGTTATCCCTGCTAAATGGTAGTGGGACATCTGAGAGAAAAATAAACATAAAAGAACTTATCGATCATATTGGAATAATTTTGAGGTAGATTTTGCATTTGATCTTGAAAGGAATCATTGGAAGTGATGTGAATAGATGGAAGGAATGTGATAGAATGATGTGATTCAGTTGCTTCATGTGTGTGACAGTGCTTAGAGTCTGGAGCTCACTAAGGAGCATAAGAAATATTCATGGATTAGAAGCACCAAGAATGAAGGGTTCTTGGCTGGAGTGTTGTTGGAGTTGCTGTCTCCACTGCCCATTTCAGTGGTGTATGCATACGAGTTTTGGCACAGCTACTCTGCCCAAAAGAGGTATTTGAGATACAAATAGTTTCACCCACTCTGGTTTTCTGACTTCCTTAGACAAAAGGGACACAGTAGGGTAGAGCAGAAAAATACTGGTACGCTGATTGAGAAACCCAGAAATACCTTAATTACATCTGTATTGTGTTCAACAGTGCAGCTCTGCTTTTGCACCCTCTCTGGCTACCACAGGTCCTGTTTCCACCAGATGGTGTTTGTATAAGCCAGATCTATACCCTTGTCCATAAATAATACCAGCTGCTTGGGGTGGGTGGAGAAATTGAGACTTCTAAATGAAACAAAGGTATATCTTCAAATTATATGTTCAGATTGCTCTAAATATAAAAACAAAACCCTTCAGGAATGATTTCGTTGTTGGCTAGCCTAAATTCTAACACTGAAGCAAGAAACAGTCACTCGGTTGTTCTTCATCTTTTTTGACAGCCATTTCTTCACAAAGTGTGAAGACTTTGGCATTGCAATCTGAAACAGAACGTATTTGTTTCCTGATTTGCTGTCTAAGTAGAAGTTTAATTAAAACCCATTCATGTGAGAGAAAATAAGCCAGTCTGACTTAATTGCCAGTTGATTTAGTACTGCAAATACACCAAGAAAAAAGCCCAGAAACTACAGGACTGCAGTAAGTGGTTTCTCTGCTCTATGGAGGTGTTTAGGCACCACAGAACTTGGGCTGAACCTGGAGTATTGTTTCTGTTCTTTATCATCCTGGCAATTGTTGGACTCACTTTTTTTTCTTTAACAAATTAGTTTCCTTGTGTATTCATCAATATTACTGAATTATTGTCCTAATGTCCAAGGCAATAAGAGTAGTAATCCCTTCCACAATAAATTGTATTAGATGTTAAATATCAAACATTCACTTGCCCAGTTTGAAGCCATGATTCAATTTGCTATCATAAAGTAGCCAGTGTAGTGCTGAACCACGGGAGCAGCTCACCATGCTGGATCCATCAGGGTGTCCACAACAGCCTCACAAGCTTTACTCCTAATTCTGCTCAGCAGAGCTACAGCTGTACTTGGTGACAGCCCACTTGTGGTCTGGGCACTAAGGCCACCTCCTTGTCTCCCCAGGTGGTGGAAGAGGAATTGCTGTCAGGAAGAGTGACAGGACACGTCTGCCGTGTTCTTCTGGGGACCTCTCTTGGGGGTGGCTGTAGACCAGGAGTCTGTGCCATGGTAAGTGCAGTGCCATTCTCCACCTGGGAATGCCAACAAGCTGTAGGTAACAGTCTAAACGTGGTCATCTCTGAGGGCTTTTGCAAACTGAATTGCTTTTAGAGGTAAGAGGAGTGTAGTTTGCACAACAAGTAGTTGATGAAGGTCGCTTTAGCAGCTCCAGACTAGGTGGGTTTGAACTGCGTCTCCACATCTCTTCTCACTAAAACCTTCTCAATTTTATTGATTTAATAATGAAACTGTTATACAGTTTCCTCATTCCTGAAACTTGTTTAAATGTATTCCTTCTTCAAAGGAGCACATCCTCACTCTGATTTATTTTAAAATGGCTTTTAGAAGGTGTCATCCTTGTGATGAAGTGTTAGGTCTGTGTTGCCAGTGTGCCATTAAAAATTGAATTTCTGACGTTTAAATGTCTCACTCATCCCAAGTGTCACAGTTTGACAGCTCTGCATGTCACATTACAGCACAGTATTATGGATTCATTTCCTCTGTCAGGTCAAAAAAAAAAAAAAAGACTAAAAATGAGAGAAAGCAAAATCTGCAGTCTCCTTCATTACTGAGATGGAAATTTACAGAAATATGCCTATTAACACTGAAATAACTCTGTACCTTGTGCTGCCTGTCTGTGCAGAAGCAACCTTTGTCCCATGCTCCTGTACAAACACTAAGAGAACGCTGGGACAATCTCTTCAACTGTCTGCAAACTTCTCAAAGATGGAGCAAGGAATATAAAGGGAATCAACAAACAGATATTGTAACAAAATCAAAACATGACCAGACCCCATTGTTTATTCTTGACTAGGTCAATGAAAAGGTCATGTGGTATATTTCTTGTTGCTTTGTTTTGCCAACTTTAGGCAGCTGTAGCTTTGGTGTCCTTTCTCTGTTTATCTATCTGCAATGTGATAACTTCAAAACACGACATCTGATCGGGTTCAAAATGTTGGGAGTGTTTGCATCAGTAAGCACAACTTTATTGATTTTGCCTAAGGTAACAAAAATGGCCCGGGCTTCCTGTTTTCTGCCTAGAAGGTTTGACCAGAGACAGTGTAGGGCTTTGACCATGAATTTCTGATGCCTGTCAGCTCAGTCAAGGTTACAAGCTCAAGCCATCTGCTATTTCATCCAGCAAGTCAGGCCACATGTGCACTGCACAGGCACTGTTCGCTGCCTCCTGGATGGGTATGAGATGGGGAGTGGTGGATCTGGCTCCGTTTGGCTGCTGACTTCCCAGTAACCCGCTGTATGGCATGGTCAACCTCTTCCATGACGTGGCCTCCCACTAAGAGGGACGCCCCAAAAAGTAACAGATGGTATCAGGTGGCAGTTGCTTCAAAAAATTATTGTGCCCTTTAAGCCTCGTCCTTTTTCAAAGAACCTTCAAGAAAAGAGAGACCCGCAGCCGGGCGGCAGGGCTTGCCCTGGCCATAAGCACCTGCTCCCTCTGATCGCTTCCTTCCCGAGAGGAATTTGGAAACAGAGGTGCTCGAGTCCCGGGCCTCTGGGCTTCCACCCAGGCTGCCCATCGCTTCAGCAGCTGCAGCGCCCCCAGCTCGGGAGAGGCTGCAGGGGCAGTGCCCGCAGCACTGGGGGACAGTTGTGCTGGAAGGGGGAAAGGCAGGAGTGCAGGTTACGGCCGGGGGGAGGAGGCGGTGAGGGCGGGATGGGGCGAGGAGGAGCAGGAAAGGCGCTCAGCGCTTTCCCGGGATAAGGCGGGATGCGGGGCGGGGCGCGGCCGGCAGGGGGCAGCAGGCGGCCGGGGATGGCGGCGGTCGGGGCCGGGCCCGCGGCGGGAGCGGGGAGAGCCCGCGGTGTGAGCGGGGAGAGCCCGCGGCGGGAGCGGGGAGAGCCCGCGGTGTCGGCGGGGAGAGCCCGCGGTGTGAGCGGGGAGAGCCCGCGGTGTGAGCGGGGAGAGCCCGCGGTGTCGGCGGGGAGAGCCCGCGGCGGGAGCGGGGAGGGCCCGCGGTGTGAGCCGGGAGAGCCCGCGGTGTGAGCGGGGAGAGCCCGCGGTGTGAGCCGGGAGAGCCCGCGGTGTCAGCGCCCCGGGGTGACAGCGGGCCGGCCGGGGCAGAGCTGCGGGCACCGGGAGCTCCGCGCAGTGCGCGCCCGGTGGCGGGAGCGGAGCCGGGCAGGGCGGGCGCGCAGCCGCCAGGTGCGGAGCGGAGCGGTGCGGTGCGGAGCATCGGCCGGCGGCGGTGGCCGCCCGGGAGCGGGACCGCCACGGGCACGGTACCGCCGAGGCTGCGCCCTGCCCACCCCGTGCCCTCTCCGGGACCCGCGAGGGGCCGCCCCCGCCCTGCCGGGTGCACGCCCGAGCACCGCACTGCCCCTGGCGGGTCACCGGCCCCCGGCCCCGGCAGGGCTCCCCAGCGCAGGCCGGCCTCCCCCCGCCGCGGCCGGGACTCCCCGGGCTGTGCCGAGCCGGGCTGTGCTCCCCGCGCTCCCCGCGGGATGCTCCGGGCGGGGCCGGATCCCGCACCGGCCTCTCCCGGCCGCGCCGCCTCCCCGCCGGTCCCCACCCGGTTCGGGGGAGGCGAAGGGGAGCACGAGAGTTGCGGTGCCCCATGTTCCCCGCGTCCCGTTCCCCAGTGCCGCTCCTCGGGCGGGAGGCAGGACCTGCGCCCTGGAGCTCCGTCCTGCTGCGGGGGGACGGGAATGCCCGGGACGGGCCCGGGGGGGCCCGGTGGAGGCTGCGCCGCGAGTGAGCGGGGCTGTGCCGCTATCGCCCTAGGTAGGATGGACCTGCCCCCCTGCCTCTGCCCCCATGTCCAATAAGAAGAGACCCGGCTTGACACCTGCCTATATACAGAGGAGGAGAGCAACATCTTCAGCGCTGGTCTTTGGAGGGGGGGGGAACAACCCAAAACACAACACAACATCAGGTCAGAGCGGGGGGCTCGGTGGTATTATAAAACCCCCCCAAGACTATGACTTCCAGTAAAATTGAGATGCCAGGGGAGGTGAAGGCAGATCCTGCAGCTCTGATGGCATCTCTGCATCTGCTGCCTTCTCCCACTCTCAACCTTGAAATCAAATACACCAAGGTAAGTTGTGTTCGTTTGTTCTGGCAGAGAAATTCATGGTTTTCCCTCCAAAGGAGGAATTTTGCTTAAAATCAGTTTCATTCTGTCCTACCCAACTTGAGTGTAGAGATAAAAAAAACTGCTAAGACTGCCTTGAATCTGTAATAAAGGAAACAGATTTTTAGCCCTGTAATCATCTGCAAAACCACAGGATAATAGAAAAGCAAATTAGATCTGCTGGGACTGGCTTTGCCACTTCTCTTTAAATGTAGTATTTCCTACAGAGCTGCTGGGGTTTACTTTCAGTGCAAAATCAGTAGTTCTCGAATATACTTTACTTGCTTTTGATGTACTTCAGAGGACATTACTATACATACCTGTGTATCTCAATCAGAAAATAAAAATATTTTCTTTCTTGAATTTCCCTGTATGCCCAAGGGACTCTTTTATGATTCCTGGAGGACTCTTAACACTACCAGGTTGTTACAGCACTGGAACAGGTCTCTACCAACTTCCGTGATACTTGAATACACCCTTGAACAATATTGCAAAGAGGGCATATTTTTTCCTACTAATCTTTAAGACTAATTTTCATAAAGAGAGAGTTGGGGTCGGTGTAGAAATATCTGCTGGTTTTCTGTGGTGTATTAGGAGACTAAATTAGTTTTGTCAATTAAAATGGGCTTTAAGAACAGTCATTTGTTTGTAAATGCAATTTGAATTTTTAAATTCGTTGATATGTTTTTAATCTTCGCATCTTTAGTATCTTTAAAGAATGATTTCATTGCTGTTGGAGAAGTTTCAAATCTATTGTATAAACAGATTACAATGTGTCAGACTTTGTTTCTAATTACCAAGTAACTTAATAGGAAAATAAGCACATCAGCCCTGGAAAAAGGTGATAACATTTTTATCTACTGGAAATACAACTTCAGGAGCTTTAAAGCTGATAGGAGACTCATTTTGGCCGATGTAGTGTAATTTTTTCCTTCATATCATCAGTTTAAAAGCTTTTCATCTTTTCTCTTTTTTTTAGCAGATGCCAAAACTAATTTGTCCTCTAATTTGTTACAGCAATTCCATGTTCTAGACGCATGTTTCAGAGGAAAGTCAGCTATTTTAGATTTCATTACATTTTAATGCAAACTGCAATATGCAAATTAAAAGATGCATATGGTTTCTGGCACACAATTTCTTTTAAAATAGTTTAAATAAATAAGAAATGCAGTTACTGGATGTTGTGTAGTATTACACTTCGGGAGCAATCACACTGTGCAAATAGTATTTGGCATGAATTTTGTTCATTGTTGGTTTCAGTGCAAACTGTGCTTCAGGAGTGTTCAATGGGAAATACTTGGGAGTGGTATCTCAGCCTGTTTGCATAATAAATTTACTTGCCTTTCTCTGTTCTGAAACTGGAGAATTGGTTCTAAAAATCTTTGAAAAATACAGCAGCCATCAGCAATCACAGCTTCCTATCTGTAAGAATGTGAGCTGGATGGTGACCTTTAATAAATCAGAATACACAGTGCCATCATCTCAGATGTGCAGCGTTACACATTTTATACTCGTGGAACAATTAAAAGACAATTCTTTCATTTAATATTAAGCCAAAAAGAATGGCAACATGTTTCTTCTAAGCTTGGTTTTGAGGTATCAGGTAACTCCTAGTTGCTTTTGAGAAAAATTTGGTTTAGGACAGGTATCAAATGTTTCACTTGGCACATCCTCTGTCTCTGTTTTTCTGTCTGTCTCGCTCTTTCCTCCTTTTTCTCTTTCTCTGCAGGAAATTCAAGTGATTTATAGATAATTGGAGTCTTCAGCTTTGAGTCTTGACTTGGGCAGGACTTTTATCCAGGATCCACTTTCCCACCTATTACAAAGAAAAACAATCAGAAATGAAATAATGGATTGTAACTTGATTCTTTCTTTTGAGGGAGTGGTCACTTCATGTCCTAAATGACAAACAACTTCCATAAACAACAAATAACATTAGACTAAAGCACTTTGGCATGAAAAAAAAAAAAGAAAACAACAAACTCAAACCTTGTAAAATCAGACATCTGTAAGCATTCCTAGCAGCCTCTCTCCTGCTAGTTAGCTGGGAATTTTAAATACACAACCAGGACACAGACTTCTTGAACTCTTTATTACATCTGTCTATGAATCTTAACCATTTGGGAGTTAAATCTTTGTGAAAAATAGAAGTACTTGTGAACATTTAAACCAAGTGAAAAAAATTTAAAATATATTTTGCCAATTAAATTCTATTTCTGGAATTCTAAAGTTGGTAAATAGACAGTTTTGTTAGGATAGAACATGTTAAAATGCCAAGATTTCTTAAATGATATTTGTTAAAGATGTGTATGTAAAGATATGTGCTGGAAAAAAAATTATTATTCATTAATCTTTAAAAAACTGCATCGCCCTTGGGGTTGCTATGAAAGCTCCTTCCGAGAACACAGATAAAACAAATACTACCTGAGTGATTTTCATTTATTCGATTATTAGGCAGAATTATTGAAACTTGTGATATATTGCTCCAGTAGGTTTATTGAAGGAACCAGAAAACTGTACATTAAGTCCTTCCAATCTGTACACCTGATGGAGCACAGAGGTGTAATATAGGTTGGATTGATCAGGTAAAATATGTTCAGTGGTGAAAATACACAATGCCTTGCTTTTATGTAAGATGTGCAGCAGTAGCTATTGTGGCTTCAGTGTTGGAAGTCAGCCGATGCTGCTTTTAAAAAACAGTCATTAGAAATATTTTTTCCGCAGTTTTTTTAATACCTTGGCATGATCTGTGAAAAATAAAGTGTTGTAGATGTGCTTAATGAGAACTGGTGAGCAGGATGTGAACCAGACATGCAGGTGAGTGTCCAAGCACACAGGGTTAAGTTTTTCTGCATGGCTGGCAAGTGCTAGGACTGCTACATGGAAGATTATCTCTCTTTTCACTGTGATGGCTCTTTAACTCTTTACTTCTTAACACTGACATTTGGGGAGGGATTGCATGTGCAGAATAGGACGTCTTGTAGTGTTACATGGAATTAGGTTGCTCTACAGCCCTGTGGCACAGCGAGCCCTCGTCAGACTCGTCAGGAGCGTGTTGGCAGTGCTGTGCTCCATATGTAAGGGGGCATGTAGGTAGGAAGGGGATCCAGCCCTCCCCCCTGGCAACAAGTCACGCTTCTACAAAAGTCGACTTTATGCCAGAAACTCTCCCAGAATGGGCTGCTCCAGAAATATCAGATGTGTGAGATAAGCTGTGGGCATGACGTCCGGTAAGGACACGTTACTGGCATGTTTTGTGCAGGAAGCCCAGCCCTGAGAACCTGACAGCTTCTGAGGGTGATCACAGGGTTCTCAGCGTAGTATCATGTTGATACTCCTTTTTTTTTGCTTTTACAAAACTCCATTTTCCCTCCTGAGATGCCTCCCAGGTATCTGACAGTAGATATGGAATCAGCCCAGTGGATTGAGCCCTTTGCAGCATTTCCCTCTGGCTGTCTCCATCTGAGGGGCTAAAGGTGTTTCTACAGGATGTAGCCATCCTTCCTTTGTTATGGCATAACCACACTGCTTTACAAAGTATTTTCACTGTGGTTTTAGTCAGACATGTTGACTTTTTAAAAGACAGCTTGATATAAAACGAGGACCTCAGGGCTTTGTCCTGTCCCAGCTCTGTCACTACATCAGGTAGCTGAGTGAACAAATGTTCTCAGTTTGCATCATATTGGGGACACTAATCCAGATGGGTGTTTTAAGTTTCTTACTTGCCAACTGATTTAAGTCTGAGAAAGAGCTGAACAACTTTAGCATAAGAAAAAGCTGAAGAATTGTGGGTTTGAGAGCTTTTTATAAAGAGGTGCTCTAAAGGGATGAAGTTACAGTGCAGTAGAAGTGAAGAGGTACATGAAACATTTCTGCATGAACAGCCTATGAATTAGCTGACAATCATATTTTCTTTGTCCAGTGTTAAAGGGTTTACCTCTACCCTTACACCATAGGCTAAAATCCATCCAGTTTCCACACACACACCAGAAAAACTACCCAGCACTGCAAAAGAAAGCTGCATACAGGAGTTTGTATGAAGTGTAGGCAAACTGCTTCTGGGTAGACGAAAGCTAACAAATACATTTCAAATTCTCGTATGATAAGCATCTGGGTTTGAAGCATTTTATTATTAAGGTTCAGTACTTTCATCACCATTATGCTTTCTTGGCATTACCCTTTTCATCAAAATTTCCAGCATGTGTTTTCCAGATAAACTTCTAAACTGACATTAAGATAGGAGGCAGCAAATCTATTTTATTTAGAATAATATGCAGAATCTTTGTCATTTTTTGAACTGCAGAAAAGCTTTGGCAAAACTCAGGTAAGTGATGCATACATGCACTTTCCCACCTGTCTTTCCCCAAACGAGCTCCTTTAATGCCTTTTGAAGTCAGATTCAGGGAGTGATGCTTGAGAAAACCAGCTCACCTTTTGGGTCAGGTGGGTGAGCACAGTCCTGTTACAAAAGACTGGGTACAGAAAATTAGAGATGTTTGCTTGAAGAGTAGACAAATAGAACAGCTACTTTCCCCTTTGTGGAACACCTCAGCTTGTGATGCTGCCATTAGATATGTCCCTCTGTATTATCATATATGATGTTTTAGTGTATAAACCGTATTTAGATTTACTGTTGTTTAAATATACAGTTTGAATTCTCTTCTAGTGTATTCATACTTTGGGTTTAGTACTACAGTCCATCAATTCATACAGCAATTGCAAATTGTTTATGCACTTCTTTCCAATTAGCAACCTGAATATAGGATTTCTTTACTCCCAAAGTTTTAAACTCTTCTACATAAACCCAATTTACCCAAGTATTTCATGAGGGACAAGAAACAACTGTAGCCCTACATGTATCCAGTCCCTGCCTTTCCTTACTCCAGTACAGCCATGTAATTCAAGAGCATTAAAAACACAGAAACCACCAGGCTGAAACTGGTCACAACTGGAGAACTCCTGCAGAATGATGCATTAGAGTGGGTAACTATGGTAGCAGTGACCTCTTACTGTGCTGAATCTTTAGGGAAAGGCTGGATCTTTAGGGAAAATGCAAACTGGTTTAATGCATCAAACTGTGCAATAATATATTTCTGTCTCTGTCCAGTCTGTAAGGTCAGATGATACACCGAAGGACAAGTGCTATGCAGTTAGTGCTTTTGTCCTCTTTGCAAAAAATGTTTAAAATTTCAAGTATTCAAATACAAAAGATCCATATATTTATTTGCACAACAAAACCAGAAGGTCAATAATAATTAGAGCACTTGCCCAAGTTGAAAAGCAGACAAATTCGTACCCCTGCTGTGAAGCAAACAGAGCAGAAACTTGAATATGGATTCCTAATTTCTGATGGTGGATAGGCCCAAATTTTGCCACCTTTGGCTATCCTTGGAAAGAGTCTCACATTCTTTCCTGTTGAATAATTCACTCTTAAGTTTGTATGAGGTCTCAGAGACATCAACTTGATATCCCAGTGGGCAGGACACTCATGAAGGAAAAGCAGGATTCATGTCTTTTCTCCAAGAGTACTCACAGTGTTAGACAGAGCAAGGGTTTGATCCAAAATCTGTGACTGTCTAGGCATTGGCTGTATGTATGGAGGATTGCGTTGGGACACACACATCCTCTCACACTCTCTTCTGAGAGTTCATTCTGACTGAAAAATAATATCCCTCTTTAATTTTTCATTACATTTTGTCCTTCAGAAACATTTCCCACAGAAGTTCACCAATTCTGATGCATTCCCACATTAAATTTCTGTCTTGTTTAGCCACATTTTATGATAAATCCCACAGTCCAGCAATTTTTGATGCAGCTTGTCCATCACCCTGTCCACGCAAAATTGTTCCCGACAGATCTTAATGGGCTCTGCCTGTTTGAAGTTATTTGCTGCCATAAACTGCCTTGTTCCTGGGAGCACCACACCGTGGAACCACTGAATCCAGTTGTCATCCCTTCTTTACACTGCCTGTTGTCCGACATTTCAAGTCACTGGGAACAGATCTGCATCCAGAAGTCTGGACCCTTCCTTTCAAGAGCCTTGTCTTTGCATTTACTACCTTTGGCAAATTTCATCTCCCTTGAATTGCCCAAATGTCATTTTACTTCAGCCTTAGTAATATTTTCTGCAGTCCACTGATTAGCTTGAACATTTTTATCTACAAATTCTATACCTTACTATTAATGATCTGCAAAAGCAGGTGAACCAAGATATCGATTGCTAGTCACGGGAATGAAGGGGCACCTTGCTATTAACCTCTTTCCAGGGAGAATTATCCGTTTATTTCCAGTCTTTTTATCTTATCTCTTAACCACTTTTTAATCCATGGCAGGACTTTATCTTTCACCATATGGTTACTAACTTTCCTTAATAGCCTCTTGCTAAGGACTTTATCATCAAAAGCCTTTTTAAAGTCTAAATAAATTATATCCACTGATTCATCTCGGCTCCTAATTTGACTAACTATCTTCCAAGAAATCTCACACATTTACAGAGATAAATGACAAAAGATGAGTTCAGTGGTCCATATCATAAATTCTTAGTCAGGTCCTGCATAAAGTCACATTTCTTCTTTTACAGTTTTGCAGCTATTTTTCCTAAGGCTGAACTGTAACTTTTATTTATTTTTTTTTTTAAATAGTTTCATTCTCCCTGCTCTAAAAAAACCACAGCTTTTTATCTGTTTGTTCGGGGGTTTTTAAGAGTAGAACTCCTTCTCTGAAACAAGTAACCAATATATCAACTTTAGTTCAGCTGAAAGAAATGACAGACAAAAAATGCACTTAAAAGAGAGACAAGGTTATAAGGAAGCTATG